TCATGCAAGAAATGTTGGATTCCACCTCAGTTTATCCAAATTTTGTGCAACCTATATGTTTAAATGTGTGTGTTCACCAAAGGTAGGAGCCAATATTTTCCACCTAATATCATTCTTCTCACAGCCTTGCTCTGCTGGAAGGCCTGTGAATACTGGATGTACTTCTCTGAAATGAAATCTAACTTTTGTGGTTCTTTCTTGAATTGGTATGCTGTATATTAGCATTTTAAGAATGGTGTAGTCATATGAAACTGAGCATTAGGAGAAATTCACAAGGTTACCAAAACAGAGCAAGAATTATGTTCAGTACACTTCATTAGGCATGATTAAAATCTAAGTATCAGAAATAGCTCATGAACTCTTATAGAATAAATATCTAAGTCAGCCCTAATCAGAAAGAACTCCCCTAAACTCCATCTACCAGAGAAGCTCAGTCATAATAACATATCTCAGTTACTAGATGTGGCTACACCAAACATCATTATTACTTTTAAAATAAAATATGTGCATAGATTATATACATATATCTGTGAAACTGTGAGTTGCTTGGGGCCACTTGTAAAATAAGGTTGACAGAATAAAATCAATGGTGCATTGCATTAGATGTATAGCAAACTTTAGTCATGGTTCTAAATTAAGTCCCAAACTGGCTTTTTCCTTCACTTTTTTTTTTCAGAGTAAGCAATGGTTGCATTCTCTCCCCTATTGTAAATCCATCAAGACAAGAGGTCCTGACCAAAAGTCCATAGGAGTCTTCAAGAGGTGTTCTTTGTACAATATTTGTGTTTGTGTACATGGTTCCCTATCTTTCCATAGGAGTAAGAAAAACTTGTCCATCAGATTCTCAAAGGGGTGTGTGATTTTCCAAAAGTTTGAAAACCACTGCTCTAGCAGGTATTCACAGGGCTAGACACAAAAACCTTGACGTTCACCCTCCAGGTATTATTTCAGTTGTCAAAAATGGAGGCAGCCTGCTAGAAGCTTCACTCTGTCAGAAAGTTCTTCTCAGTTGATATATCCATATTCATTATTAAAGCCAGCCATGATTCTCCCCAGGACTGTCTCTCTTCCATAGCTTATACTCTATTATTTTGCAAAGATGATTCAGAATATGCTGTTTGGGATATTTTATGATTTATTGTGTGACTTTTTATTTGTATGGCAGTTTTACTGGTATCTGGTAGTGACATTGAAGCAGCGACCTCCATTGCCCATGGTGTCCTCGAGGGCAGGCATGGTGTCTTAACCTCCTGTTTCCCTTCCTAGCTTAGCACAATGCATGGCTCATGTTCAGTACGCATGAAATGCTTAAGGAACTCAATGGAATTATTCATTAGTTACTGTACCACCAATATCCCAACAAACAGACAGCAACATCAAAAATTATCCTGGCTTGTTGAAAACAGGCATCCATCAGAGACCTTTTTTCTTTCCTTCATGCACTCTGTTTCCATCTATGTCTTAAATTTTAACATACTTCAGTTCTTCTTATCATTTCCATGTTTTCCTTTGACAACTACTTTCACTAACATGGTTTGAATTATCACCCATATGCTACTAAATTTGTGTCTCTGGATCTCTTCTTCAGTCTTTAGACTTGTCTGTCCAACTACCTTCTAAACCGGCCTCATGCAAAGATACTCACTCCACTCAACAAGGTCAAAGCTATAGTCTTCACGTCTCCACCAAATCTTCTATTCATTCTTTTATTCTCCATCCTAGTGAGCATGATACCATCTGTCCATGATAGGAACCCAAGAGCAAACCATGACCTCTTGCTCATCACTTCTCCATCAACGAGTCATCAAGTTTTACCCATTTTTACCTCTAAATAGTTTTTGAATAAAGCTCTCATTTTCCATCTTAGTGATTACTGTACCTTTTAAGGGCCTCCTCCTTGCCAAGCTGTAAAAGATCTCAATTATTCTGGAGTACAAGCTCCATAAGGAGAGCAACAATGTCAGCTTTGCTCATCCTTGCATCTTCAGGCTCAACTGCTGGCCTAGAACTTGGTAGCATTCAGAACACTTTTGCTCAATAAATGAGCTGCTTCCTGCTACTACAGAATACAATCCAAGGTCCTTAGCCTGCCATGGGAAACCCTTCATAATTCCCCCTGAGGACCATTCCTTTCCTTGGTCCTTGTGCTCCAGCAACTCCCAACCACATATGAATTCTTTTGCTCATTTTTGCAGGTTCATGCTCATCCTTCCACTCCATCTGGAATCACCTGCTCTGTCCAGCCTGAACCCAGCCCTGGTTACATCCTTGCTTTTTAAGGCACAGCTCAGATCACCTCCCCCAGAAAGCCTTCCCTCATTAACACAGTCCCCAGGGTGAGTGTGTCTCTACTCCCTTGAGTGCTCAGACCATCTCAGGCATATAGCTATCATTTTACTTTTTCCACTGCTTTGTGGTGACCTGTTATGCTTGACTATAATTCTACACTATTAATATTTTTGAAATCCTGAACCATTTTATTCATCCTTATTTCCTGCAACCTAGGAAAATTTCTATACCACAATAGATAACAAATATATTTTAAATTAGTGAGTATCACAAGGAATACAGAGGAGGGGCCAGCGCTGTGGCGCAGTGGGTTAACACCCTGG